GAAGAAAAAACCCCAAAACAAAAACAAAACAAAAAAAAAAAAAAAAAAAAAAAAAAAATCAACATGCCAGAAAAACATTGACCAAACAGGAAAGGTGGTGCAAAAACAAACAAACAAAAAAAAATATTAAAAAGAGCGCAGAAGATCCAAATTTTACTTTCACTTACGAGGAGTTATTTGGTCGCTCAAAATCGGGCGTAACCGGGCCGCACGCTGCAAGCAAAGACAGTCCTCATGTGTCAAACTCAAAGGAGAATCAGGTTTTTTGAGAATTTATTGCATCTTTTACACTTAATGTTTGCATTTATCTTCTGTTAATGCAAACCTCACATTACAGCCCCGTTTGTCTCCTCCTGTTCAGTCTGATCTAACATTCACTAAAGCTCCAAACCCAAAGAAAACATTAAACCAACAGAAACTATTGTTTTAACTAGGAATGTGAAAATGTTAGTTTTTCTGTTCAACCAGACACTAATTATATGAATCTGAAATTTTCTGCAAATGACACACTTTTAAAAACATTTAAAAATGTCAAACAATACATTAGGAGATCTTACAGACTACAAACTTGGAGTAAGATTTGAACATTTATTTACTTTAGTTTCTTATATATATATATATATATATATATATATATGTTAATTAAACTGCCCATCAAAAATATTTTTACACCTTAAGCGCATAAAAAATATAGAGCAATTTATCTATCCATCTATCTATGCACACATATAGTAATTTAATTAAAAAAAACTTTTATATTTAGTATATAGTGTAAAAAATAATTTTGCTTGCTTGGTAAATTGTTTATGCAACATCAATCCATTAAGCCCTAAGACATGAGTGAGCATATGCAGCTGTGGCTTTACACTGAATAATTCAAATTTAAACATGGATAGCTAAAGATATTGAATGCACAACTCAATTTGGCAAATGGGGGTGAAAAAAAGAAGCTAAAATCAAGTTTATATATTCTACATGTTTTATGAGACGGTTTAAAATACTGCTGCGCTGGTTTGATCAAATTACCTTTACCGGTTAATATCAAGTCCACAAAATTAGACAGGAAGTACTACACAGGGTGGGCCATAAGTTTCCACACATAGGAGAATGTAAAATGTACATTTCTTTTATTTCTCAGATACCCAAGAAGATGCATTTGACAAAAGAGCAAAGAATTGAATTTGTACTGGTGGCTGGATCCGGAAGCAGTCGAATGGTTGCACAAAACTTTAACAGAAAACAACCACAAAATGGTCCAAGACGTGCAGCGATTACAGAGCCCCACAAAAATAAAAACAGTTGTCCAATGTAAAATGTTTACTTTTTCTATGTATGGAAACTCATGGCCCTCCCTGTATTTTACTTACCTGGATTTGGAAAATTAATTCTTAAATATCCTCTGTGATTCAGAGATGAATAGAGATTTGACTGGATTCTTGTGGTAACTTGTGGAAAAAACTAAGCTCACACATCGACGTTCTACATTTAATAGGAATTT